GTATTTAAATAAGCAATAATAACAAAAATATGGTTTATGCGTGTTGTTAAAATTATTTGAAAGAATGAAGAATTTTTCTTCTCGTGCATCACTTAAAAAAATTTTTAAAAAAAAACCCACTTAAAAAAGTAAGTAGATTACTATAAATTAAGAATTCTGCCAAGTGAATTAATTATTCTTGGCACAAACTGAAAAAATTCGCCAAGAAAAATTTTTTAATTTCTCACCAAAAATTACAAAATTTAATATCTAGGCATAATTTGAGGCGTAGAATCAAAAAGTGAGAAAAAATGTAATTTCAGAAAATGTCCGATTTTGTGTCATAATACCTATGTTAGAGCAATGCTTTTTTTTTTTTTTTTAAATTTTTGTATGCTTTTGATTTTTTTCTTCCATAATAAAACATGAATAAGATTGGAGATTTTCACTTAAAAATTCTGATTCTTAAATTTCACTTAGGCACTAAATAAAATACCTCGTTATGGAAAAACAATCATGTAAGCATAAATTTGTGAGTTTAATAATTTGGCTTTGTAGCTGAGTATCTGCTTGGCATACATCTCAAACCAAAACATTCACCTATTTTATATCCCTGACAAGTCATTATTTATAATACAGTCAAAAGTCGTTAATCCGGACTCGTCGGGACTTCGGCGATACCGGATTATAGATCATCAGTTTAAATCTCGTAAGATGGCATGCAGAAATTCTAAAATTAAAAATATGAAACCGTAATTTATGAAATAAAGAACAATTATGATTTAAAGGGTATCAAAATTTACCAAAAAAAAAAAACCTTAATATTTATTTGTTTACTTTATTAAACATTTCTTTCAATGTAAGTTGTTTAAGTTGCTTCGTTTTATGTGATAATACTTTCACTTTAATTCTATAAACAGACATAATTTCTTGTTCAGTTACAAAGTTCCGCTGTTCAAGTCCCGTTAATTGCTGTGCCGAGAATACCGACTAACTTGTCAATCGAAATTTTTTCGTTTTCACTAACCTCTCTGTCACATTCTTCATGTCTTTATCCATTTTTTGCAGCAATTCCACTTTTTGTTTGTTGGACATCGAAACATACTTTCGTTTTGTAGATCCTTTGGAAATTCCAGCATCGGAAATTCTATTTGACATAATCGAAAGTTCAAGTTTACTTTTATAAAATTGCTCTTACAGTCTGCAAAAAATAATAAGCGGGATCCAATTCGAAGATTAAGGAACAACGTAATCATTAACATTAACTGAAATAGATAATTAGATAATTTTAGCTTACACCATCCGTTATACATTAAACGCGCAGGCAAAAACGTATTCTGCACTTGCGCACACGCATATGCGCAGTAGTCAAGGTCTTACGCGCACGCGTAAAACGCCTGTGCGCATGTGCCAACACGGTGCATGCGCAGAAAGTTTTTAGCTTTGAGGTCCGAATTAACGACTTTTGACTGTATTTTGCTTTCATCGCCACATGTTTAATCATTACATGACAGCTTCAGTAATAACTCATGCAGCGATGTCTAAACTTTTTTTATATTAGTTTTTGAATAACAAGAGTATGGCAAGCTTTTATGCTAACATTACGCTTGGTGATGATTATAGATTTTTAAATGCTCTAAGAAATGTTGAGGAGGAAAACTTAACAAAAAATTTCTTTTCATATGCTATAAATACATTTTGTTAATGAAACTCATAGTCCAAAAGATTATATTTAAAGCCATTTTAATTAAGAATAACTGATATGTTATTCACCTTTAACCCAGAAGCAGCAGCAGAATATGTTGGCACCGGATGGCAGAATTTAGGGAAGACAAAATTTTTGGAATTTGGGGAAGCACCGAGCTGCAATATTAAGGGATGAGAAGTTTTTATGATTTAGGGAAAGCACTAGGATCCAAAGTTTAGACACAGTGAAAATTTAGAACTTAGGAAGGCACTTTGTAGCAGAATTTAGGACGTGTAGAGACTGTACCAGGCAGTACTTAACGCCGGCCCTAGATAAAACCTTAAGTATATGTGGGAGTTTATTTATTCAGGACTCGGATTAGTTATAAGCATATCCAAGAAATAAATCTAGGTATAGTAAATAACTAAACTAATACAATTCAGGCTTAATTCAGTACGCAATAGGAGCAAGACAAAATTTAGCGAAACAACTTGGCTTTTGTCGCCAATCTTGTGATACACAGCCAATAATGTATAACGGACGCTATTAAGCTAGGCTAAAATTATCTTTACTGATTCTGAGGCATTTCAGTTAATGTAGCAGACTGTGCTGCTCATTAATCTTTTAATTTGATCCAGCTGATTATTATTTGCAGACTGTAATTATTACGGCAATTTTATAAAAACAAAGCTTGACCTTTCGATTATATTGAAAAGAGTTTCCAATTCTGGAGCTGCCAAAGCGAAGCCATGTTTCGATGTCCATTAAACAAAAAGTGGAACTGCTGCAAAAAATGGATAAAGGCATATATCTGTCTCAAAATTATGCAAGGAGTATGGCATTGGAAAGTCAAACTGTATATGACATAAGAAAAAGGAATTTTTTTGTGGAAGCAACTTAAACAACTTACAATGAAAGAAATGTTTAATAAAGTAAACAAATAAATTTTAACTTTTTTTTTGTAAATTTTATATCCTTTAGATCATAATTGTTCTTTATTTCATAAATTATAATTTCATATTTTTTATTGTATACTTTCTGCATGCCATCTTACCAGATTTAAATTGATGATCTAATATCCAGATAAATCCCAAATCTGGAATCACTGTAGTCCTGATGAGTCCGGAATTTGGACTTTGTTGCTTTCGAGACATGAAAAACGCAGTTTGAATTTCTTCAATCGTACCAGTAGAATGGAAGATAGAGATCTGTCCCCCCCCCTCTTTTTTTTTTTTTTTTTTTTTTTTTTGCGCAGTGTACCTGCAAACCATATTTCTCAGCAAATTGCTGCATAAAAGAGTAAACACCAGGTTAAGTTGAAAATGAGTACTTGTGTTCATGATTGAGATTGGCATAGGAAGAGAAGATTGGGCCAATGGAGGATATATTTAGCTTGCTCTATTTTATCATTTTGTAGCTTAGTTTCATTTCAAATCCTTTATATCAGAGGTGGGGAATGTGAAGCCTCCATAAGTTTCTTGTACGGCCTCTAACTCTTGTAGTAACTCATATTTAATTATATAAATTGTGACAATTTGAAAATTATTAGAATTAAATAACGTACTGCCACCTATTGAGCATACACTAATCCATGATGGATTGATTGTATTTGAAGTTGTTTTTATCAAAATGTAAGTGAAGATGATATGAAAGTTATCACACAGTTTAAAATGGTGAAATTTTAAAATTTGATTAATTTTCATAAGATTAATATTTTATCTTTATCACTTTTGTCGCTATCAGTAGTGATATTTTCTGGATTTAGAAACCATAAACAAATTCTGCCATCTTTTAGTTGATTAGTTATCCACATTTTTTTCACAAATTCATTTAACTGGAAAATTTTGTGATCTACAGCAAAATAAGGTTGCCCTTTTGTCTAATTTTGAAATTGCACTTTGACAGCACTGATTTGCAACATTGCCATTTTCTTGCACTAAGACCGCTATGGAAGGCAGGTAATAAATATGCTTTTACTTTGCAGACCCTGCTACTCCAGAATCATGACGTCTTTTCGATATAATCGAAAATTCAAACTTTAATTTTGATAGGAAAGCTATAATAATAGCCCCAGAAAAATAATACCTGGATCAAATTAGTTAAGGAGAAATATAATTTGCTATGTTAACTGAACTTAATTTCTTCAGAATCTAATTCTTATTCTCTTCCCACTGTTATGCAGCAAAAGAAAGTAAGTATAAGCAAATGCCTCCTCCAAACAAATGCCTTGGAATGTTACTTAAGTCAGATGGAATAATATTACCCCTTCCTGTACCTCTACAAGCACTCAATGATTGTGAAAGTATGGTTACGTTGTGGCTAAATGTTAATTGGTATATTGTCATTGGTCACCTTGATGTGATTTCCTGACCAGCTGGATTTTGAAAGTGGCATGCTGGAATCTGAGTTACCTGGAAGAAAAATTGCTTTAATGATACATCTGCTTTTCTGTAGTACAGTAAGACCCCGCTTAACGCAGGGGATAAGTTCCATCAAAGTAGAGCGTAATACGAAACAGCGCTAAACGAGGCTATCTTAACATGTAAATAATGGGGTTAGGGGAAGATGGATAGAAAATTGGTTAGATATTAAATTTAATAATTTTTTTAATAAAAATAAAACCATTTATTTCTTACAAAAATAAAAACATAAACGAATATACATATAAAAAACAAATACAATTCTCAGTCAGTCAGATCATTCAGTCTATTCTATGTTTCCAGTTTTCTGTTTTTTGTCAAGAAGGCGTCTAATGTTGAATCTAATGAAGTTGCCGAATTCAATGCAGCACTAATTTGAGACTGACGTTCACCAGGATCTAATCTTCTAATCACATGCATTTTAATTTCCAGTAACATGCTTTTTCTGGTTGCTTTCTTTTCTTGTTTTTTATTATCACCCATGATAAAAACTAAAGATCATAATATTTGTCACTGTATTAATCGTTATAGTATTATATAAGTTTATATTTACAATAATGTCAAAAAATGTTTCAAATGATAAAAATGCGTCCGGACAGCACCGCACCAAACAAGAAACACAACTACACTGTTTCAGATATGTTATTTGGAAACCTAGCGCTGCGCACAATTTCAGGGAATCCCCATAGTGCTGCGAGCAATTTCGGGGAATCCCCGGGTTGAAACAAAAGAGCGCTAAACCGAAACAGCGTTAAGCGGGGTCTTACTGTATTGTGTTCCACATTACTAAATTTTGTTTTAAAAAAAAAAAGTTTATGGTCTGGATTTTGGACTTTCTTTAATATGCATTTCTTTTTTTTTTTTAATATGTAAAATTAATGGCATTTTTAATGAAATTTTTTCCTTACATTTAGGAACCACTTAGACATAGTATTAATATTCAAGGAGACATGGAGCGAGGATGGCATATTCCATTTGATGATAATGTAATACTTGATGCTTATGAAGAATTGAATAACTGGCTTTGCATTCAGAAAATAGAATAACAGCTGAAAGGCATCAAGAATTAATTTCAATATGTATAATGTGTGTATTTCAGTATGTATAATGTTTTTAAGAACTTGTATTTAAAATTTAAAACATTTTTCATTGTACAAAGAAAAAAAAATAATTTTAAAACTTTTTTGGGGTCATAATTTATAACAAATTTATCACAAATTTGATTTTTTAGTTATGTTTTAAATGATGCAAATATTCATGCTCCTGGTATTTTTAAATATTAAAATTGTAAAAATTATAACGTCTATCCTTTTGTCCAGTACTTCAAAAAAAATTGTATTCGTTACATTAAAAAATGAACACAAGTATGACGCGCATGCAACAAAAATTGACTGAAATATTTTGCATTAAAATTTGGAATCATATTTAAAAGCCGTAGATAAACTGAAGAGTGAAATGTTTCCATGTATACATAACTAAAAATAAACTATCAGTTTAGAAAAAGATTTCTGATGTTAAGAGATTGAGTGATGAGCATTTCTATGCAGGTTATTGTGAAAAGTATTGATCAATATAATTTTTTTCAAAATGGACATCCTGTTCACAGAATCTTATAGAATTCGTGTTTTAGAAAGTACTAGCAGGCTTCAGTATTTTTATGCAGCCAACTCATAATATTATTTGCATTAATTAAAAATATTTGTAGTTTAATGAATCTTTTATATAATTACTGGATTGCAGTTCTGAAATAATAAAACTTCGTGAGAGGTATATTAACCCTTAGGCCTTCCTGGAAAATACCAAGTACCTAGAATACTTTGTTCACTTGAACCTAGAATATTTTGTTCACCAAAATGCCTAATATTCACAACAATTTCACCCCCTTCTTGCCATTCATTAAGGGGGAAAAAAAAAATGTGTGAAGTTTTCAATACTATTGTTTCTAGTTACTGACAAAGGAGCTTTCATTAGCCACTGAGTGTACACTGACTCTCCTTTAACCTAAAGAAAAAAAATTCAAAATATCATCACTGAATGGAATAGAAGGCCATATCTTAATCAGAATTAAATTGCCTAATCAACCTCAAATTATTCTAATTTACTTACTAAATCGACCTCTTACTTCTTAATAAAACTTCATGAGAGGTATATTAACCTTTAGGCCTTCCTGGAAAATACCAAGTACCTAGAATACTTTGATTATGCTTAATTTTCCATATTTTGTCCAATCAGCTTTTACATGATCTAGTTTAATTAATTAGTTATCTAGTTAGTTATTAGTAGTTAGATCTAGTTATCTTAATTATGATCTAGTTTCTCGTAAAAAAGTAAGAAGGTGCTTTAATTTTTGCCAGTTGAAATGTCATGCATGGAAGAAAACTATAATTTTAAAGCTTTATCCTTTGCATCCATATAAAAAAATTCTTTAGTTAGTGTACTCTTCCAGCAATTTATTCTGAACTAATTCTGCAGTTAAACTTTCTTATAGCCTAGTTACCATTACCATAGCATAGTTACCTGTTAAGCAACATAAAATGAACACAACCAATAAAAATTCTGAAAATTTCTCATTTAGTGCTAACAGTTGATTAATAATAGCTTCCATTTGCATTTGGTGATCACTTATTTGTTCTTTATTTCTGCACTGAAAATTACAGAACTTTTTCAGAAAGCCAACTTTGGAAGATAGTATTAACGATTCATCTTTTGTTTGAACATATTCAGTATCTCCCTTGCAATCACACACTTTTGAATACATCCCACAAAAGTCCTATATAATCCATTCTGCTGTTAACTGCAATGGAGATTCCATAAATAACATTGTATAAATACTTTTTAATCAGCAAAAGTTTAAGATTTTATTTCTATGTACAATAATTGTGATTATTCAGCTTTTCAAGGAACGTGCAATTTAGAAATATAGCCGCAATTACTATGCAGTCGTTATGAAACAACATGAAAATGACAATATTCGTTTCTCAGACATTTTAAATCGAATTCCTGATTGTAAATACATAATTTAATAGACTTCTGTACAATGAGCATATAATTTGTGGCATTAAATTCATGCAGAGCAGAATAAAGCATTTATTAGGAAAACACAAGCATATACTACAATGATCATTATATTATTTCACAAGATTTCAAATCTAGCTTTGACACAAAGTTAAAAGTACATACATTCATATTTATGGAACAGCACTCTGACAAACGAGCAAAAGCAGCTTGGAGAAAAAAGAAATAACATTAATTACTGCATCTTTGGAATTGACAGGAAAATATAACTAACTGTAACACATCAAAACACTAGAGAATGGAATAAACAAAATGCTTAACTTATACAAATTTGTTAGAGGTATTAAATATTTTGATCTGATAGTGTATAGATGCTTTCTCAGTAAACAACTGTAATCTGCACTTCTAGAATATGTCATTTAAAAAGCGTGTTTATAAGACTTAAAAATTAACCTTATGTGCATATATGTATGCATATAAAAATAAAAAATAAAATTGAAAATTCTATTGAAATTTGTAAGTTCATTTTTATGTAAAACACTGTAAAAATGTCCCCCCCCCTTTTTTTTTTCTTCCAAGACATGCTAGAAAATTTCGCATTTCTGCAAAATCCTTGCTTGAATATCATAATCATTATATTTTGCAGTCCTTAGCTTGAAAGTCTTTCATAAAAACTGATGTTACCAATATAAATATATATATATATAAAATACCAATATAAATAAAAATTTTCTTTTACAGATTCATGAAATTTGAATTAATTATATATAAAATAATTGATATTTTCATAATTGTAAAGCACTGTAAAATGGAATTTAGAACTTGATACATAGTAAGTAAAAAAATTCAGTACAATATCAAAAATCCATTGGGGTTTCCCCGCGTAGGTTCGAATCCTACTGACTAATTGACATAATAAAAGCAAGGAAAGGAAAAGATGGAGCACTGTTGATGCATAATAGCTATCCTATATCGAAGAAGAAGTATTCTGATTGTGTCGTAAGCTAATGTGTTGACTTGGCAGTCAAGGCGATTTTAATTCCATTTTTATTTCCAATTGACATTATGTGGCCATAGATCACTCGGCACCCTAATCGTGCCTGTTCAAGAACATTTACATTATTGATATTATTGCAATAGGAAGAAGCATAGCGAAATTGTGTCCAAGCACAGAATAGACGGAAGCTGAAGTACATAATTATGAAAGATGGAAGCACACGAAACATTTTGGTTTACAATGGTAGTTTCAGTTCCCAATTATTATGTCATCAGAGCTGCGCAGGCCATAGAATGATCTAGAAATGACGCAATCCAGAGAAATTATTGCGATTTTTAGAATAGAGAGTGAGAATTAAAATATTTCCGTTAGTTTAAATTATAATTTTGATTCACATATTTTTTATCTTACATATATATATATATATATATATATATATTGTTCCAAAAGAATATAGTAAAGTTAAATTAAATTTAAATAATTCTCTTGCGTCATTGCTGCAAGGAATGAAATTTGAATTTAACAAACATTCTCTATTCCTAAAAAGCAAATTTAAAATTAATTAAATTTTAAATGAAATTTAATTGCAAATAAATGATTAATTATTGCTGCGAATAATCTACAATATCATTTAAATTCTGAGAGCATATGTAAATCAAGTGAGAGTATCAAAATGTATCCTAAAATACATGAATTTGATAGATTAAAATCTAACAAAATCTGTAAGTCTTTAATCCGGACTTCGGCAATTCCGGATTATCGATTTTTCCGGATTATAGATCATCAGTTTAAATCTGGTAGGATGGCATGCAGAAATTATAAAATTAAAAATATGAAACTGTAATTTATGAAATAAAGAGTAATTATGATCTAAAGGTATCAAAATTTACAAAAAAAAAAAAAAAAGCTTAATATTTATTTGTTTACTTTATCAAACATTTCTTTTAACACACGCATGCGTAAAGCATACATTACGCATAGTCGAAATTAGGAAATTGCAATCGGAAAACTATTTGATGTGTACTCATGATATTTATAATGACGAGGAATTTGATTTAAATCATATCAAAGACGGAATACATTGAGATGAAATACTACATTTAGTAATGAATTATAAGCTGAATAAAATAAAAACATCTGCCCTGAAGATAAAGATAGTGCTGACAGAAAAACTTCCAATTCATTCCGCGCCGTGATGTCAACCCCCCGCAGAGCAGCGTGAAATTGATAAACAGATTTCAGAATGGTTAGGGAAACAAAGGATATGCCTTTATCCATTTTTTGAAGCAATTCCACTTTTTGTTTGATGGACATCGAAACAAACTTTCGCTTTGTAGATCCTTTGGCAGCTCCAGCATCGGAAATTCTATTTGACATAATCGAAAGTTCAAGTTTACTTTTATAAAATTGCTCTAACAGTCTTCAAAAAATAATAAGCCGAATCCTATTCGAAGATTAAGGAACAACGCAATTTGCAACATTAACTGAAATAGATAATTAGATAATTTTAGCTTAGCTTATACCGTCCGTTATACGTTAAACGTGCATGCGTAAACGTATTATGCGCGTGGGCACACATACGCTTGCGCATATGCGTTCACGCATGCGCAGAAAGTTTGTAGCTTTGAGGTACGGATTATAGATCATTCCGGATTAATGACTTTTGACTGTATTTTTTAATCCTAAAAAATTATAAAAATGCAAAGTGAATAATTGTTGAGCAGGCAGGAGACAGACTTATCAAGGGAAAGTTGCTTCTAAACCTAACTCTTCAATTATTCAATTCGTGTTTCGTCATCCATATAGGAAAGGGCAAAAATGTTGTGAATTACTAAAAAGAAATTTAAACAAGTGGAATTTAGAGAAATTAGCAAGTGAAGACTAGAATTAAAAATAAAGTCAATTAGAATTAGAAAACCAAATTAATTTAGAAACTCTTGCCTACAAAAAACTTCCACATGAATTATGCAAATCAAAAAGAATTATAATAGGTAATCAAAAAGAATTATATTAGATACTATTAAAAATACATAAATAATACTAAAAAGGCAAGTAAATAGTAAGTCTTAGTTTAACTTACCAACTATATTTGTATTTGGAGAGTGGAGCAGCATGCCAAACTAAGTGATGTTAAACTTTATAAATAGAGGGTGCTAATATAAGGTAAAGTTGAGTGTTAAGCTGTTATCTGTTAGATATATTTTAAAAACCTATTCTGTAAACTTTTAAGTAATATAAAATGTGTGTACATACTATTGCCAAAAATATTTTGCAAACTGTGAAGTATTGTAAAAATGCTAGCTGTAACTAACGTAATGTGAAAAAAAGGTTGCAAATTATTAAGGGTTGTAAAAAATCAAAAATGTTTTTGAAAGAAGAAACGAAAAAAAATTTTTTGAAGTAAAATTAATTTTAATTTTGAAATTTGAAAAAAAATTTTTTTTTCCATTAAAGTAAGAAATTTATTGTAATAGTCTTTAGTTAATAAGTCGT